AAAAATTGGATGAATATTTAACATTAGTATGAACTTGTGAAAAAAAATACGTTAGGTTTATCTAAATGATACACATAAAGAATGGATGGTTCATTTTTTTTTGTTTGACTATAATAAATAGAAAAAAATAAAAAATAAAAAAACCAATTTGTTTCACGTAGAAAAACGTGAATAGATAAATGTTCTTTTTGAATAAAAATGTACAATGGCAAGAAATGTAAGAAAAGTGTTTATTTTGTTTTTGTATGTTTTCTTCATCTCCAGGTATAACAAAACGAAAGATACAGATACATACTATATTGATTGATTGATGAATCATTATATTGTTCGTGTGTCAATTTCCTTTGACACTATTGGATGTAAATGAACAGGACTTCTAGCGCCATTTTGTTTACGTATCAAAAAAATAATTGATGATTGATTAATACTAATATTTAATGATTCATAGGCAATTATTTTTATATAATAATTATTTTATTCGTTAATATGTATCATCATAGCAACAGTCATGGATGATGGCGACAGCGTATTACCTTTTTATTACTGAATGTTTTTCTCTATATCTATTTTCAATACCTCAAGTTGCATGAGCAAAAATTTCAACAGTTGATATATAATATTTCAAACAATGATTATATGAGTATGTAATCGAACAAAAATAGGAAAAAGTAAATGGAATCAAAATACCAAAGGAGTTTTAATCTCTTCAGATAATACACTGATATTGAGAGAAATTTATTAATGAAATTAGCTAGATGATATTTTCATCGTAGCTCTTAATTGATTACTTGTTTCAGTTGATTAGATAGTTTTAATATTACAATTTTTAAACTAGTTTCATTCGCTTCTGTTATTTTTAAATTAGCATAAAAGAATAATTCGAGTTGTATACACTAGAGTTTTTTTTAAGTATTGCAGACTTGTATAAATATAGTTGATATAACTTTTTGTAAAGAATTTCAAGACTATAATCAAATTTATGACAGCTATTAGTAATGACAAATGTTTAATGAGTATTTGAGAATATATATTAGTAGAAAATTCATTGAACGTAGTTGAAATTAATTATATACGACTAGATTTTTTTTGGTATTTTTACTATTTAGATAAAATAAGTCAATAAAAACATCGAAGTTAATATTATTCAGATTTATGTATTTGAATAAGATAAAAAGTTAAAATTCTATTATAAAAATGATTTAAATATCAATGTATTCCATCGAAAATTTATGTCAATATAAAATGTTATTTTGAAAGAAAAAAATTTATAAGAAAGATACTTAGGTCAAATGAAACTTTAACCAAATAGAATATTTATTGTAGATCGAAATGAAAAAACAACAACATGCCGTTTTCGATAAATCTATAAAATAAGATAAAGTGATAGTGAAATTATCTCAAGAATGTGAATGATTATATTTTTCAACGTTGAATTAAATGAGTATCAGAATGATAATAAGGATGAAAACATTCTATTCAATCACTAAATAAGTGCATGGTGTAATTGAAACGAAACTTACATTTATTTCCTTTCAGATAAAATAATATAAGTCTAGAATGCCATTTCAAAGTTCATTTTCAATTCGTAAAACAAAACCTCGAAAATTAGTTTCTCGTTCACCATTTCAATTACCTGCTGAAGAACTTGCACGTGAACTTGGACCAAGATATGAAATAGTCGATGTGCGTATTGGAAATCAAAAATTAGTATATGATATTCCACAAGGCAAATGGATATCTGGTAGCGTTTTTTTTATAAACAATCTAAAGATTAGATATATTTTGCTTTTTTTATGCAGGTGGGATGGTTGGTACATCAATCAGTTCACGAGAAATAAATAAATTAGAAAAAACAAAACAAGAATTAGAAGAGGATAATCATGTTTTGCGTGCAAAAATTGATATGCTAACTGAAATGCTTGCCGAAATTACTGCTGAATATGAAGTTCGACGTGGTGGTTAATTATTATTTACTGTTTTTTTGTATTCTATTTTTAATTAAAAATAATAGAAAAGTATAGTATTTCAATTCTAAGTATTACAGATGATATATGGAGCATTAGATTATTTATTTTAACTTGTGACTTTAATAGTTAATCTTTCACTGTTTTTTATCAAAAGATGGAATACTATAATTAATTGGTAGACAATTGTTCATATTTACGGATTCGACAAAAACATGAATATAGGTAAGTCAAATTTTGATTAATAAACTGCATTTGACTAAAGATTTTGATATCTGACCAAAATTTAGAATGAGTAACAAATTAGTACAATAGGGACTTTTTATATTTTCATCGAAATATTCTTCGAATATTAAAATTACTAGAATAATGATATAAATATTAAATTTGTTCGTTATCCAAACCAACTCTTTCATAAAAGTAAAAGCATACGAAATAAAGCATAGATAATTGATTTGTTATTTCTACAATATCTTCCAATTCATATTTATAACATAATTATGTTTTCTTTTGAAAGTACGATCAAATTTCTCCTCATTAGGTATATAATTAGTTAATAACTGCCTAGCATTTTTATCTATTGGCACATCAATATACTTCGCTAGTTACTTTTTGTTGATACTGACGAGATTGATCGAATTACATATCTTTTCTTCTCATGTATAGTACTAGTATTATATGCTATATACTAATATTATAGAATGAAACATACTGGTAAGAATAATTTATTACGATAAAAAAATCGAACTAAAATGTTCCTGAAAACTCAACAAAGTATAATATAATAAATAAGATCGAGATAAATTTCATTCTTAATATTTTTGATATATTATCTGCAAAAGTCATTATATTTTAACTTTTCAAGGCGGTAATCTTTCTTCGAACATTCCAACCTTCAGTGATACATTCGATCAATAGCAAATATTAAATTTCATCTATATTGTACAGTTAATAATATTTGTTATTGTGAATGTGAATAAATTATTTCTATCGATTTTTATAGTTAATAAAATAGATTTGTACTCTTGCCTATTACAGTATTTGACGTGTAAATTGGATTGCTTGTATAAAAGATATCCGCTCAAATACTAACATTATATCACTTTTTATAAGATGAATTATTAGAAAAACTTTTATTCAAGCAGAATGATCGATCATTCTATCATATTACTAAACAATTCTTCAATAAATTTTAATAAGATAATATTTCTTAAGCCAAATAGACGTAGAGCAAATATCTGGATTATTATTATATTTTGAATTATTTTTATAATACAAATTTATAAGAGATATTAAAAAACAAAGTTTTGATTACGGATGCTGTATACCCTAATCTTCATCATGGATATAGATATCTCTCTCACCAATTTCAATATCCTGTGTGTTCGCATATTTTTGACTTCGTCTTGGTGTTGATCTAGATGTTGGTCCAGTCTCGCTGTTTTCTTGACGACAAATACAGAGTAATATAATAACACCAATGATACCAATGATAATGATAATTCCACCAATAATAGCAAATAACCATTCACTTGATCTTAACGTACTTTGGATATTTCCAAGAAAATTTTCTTGATTGTTACTGTCCATTATGTTGTCAATGATCAAAATCCAATAGTTGAATTAATGTTATTTGTAACACTTATTATAGAAAATAATTAATCCGCACGAATTAATTTTAATACGAATAAACCATAAAATTTTTTTATTTTCTCTCTATAAAGAATTCTGTTATTCGGTTCGATATATATTGACGTGTATATGCTCACCTGGAAATATCCATCTTTCTTTAAATAATCTACATCAACTATTATATACGAAATACATGACGATGCAGGAATACATATTGACAATTATGAATTTGGTTTCATATTACTCTTTTTCGTCGAAATAAATCCTATATTATTAATACCCCTAATGCAAATAAAATTAAATTCTGTTGATGAAATGACCTCATAAATTTCCATGTTGCAAATTACTGAAAAATGACTCGATTTATTATAATTTCATTTTTAATAACTTTATATAAAAATAAGAATATAAGCAGCTAATACTGATTTACTGCATTTTTAAATAGTTTTATATTATAGAGACACGTAATTAATACAATACTGTCGAAAAAATAATTTAAATTTGATTATTTCAACAAAACCAACATGTTTTTTTTCTATAGATTCTTTAGAAATTCTACAGATTCTCTTTGAAATAATCATGCAGCATCATTTTTCCCCATTCGAAATATATTTTTATTGAGAATATGTGAAACATATATGTACTCTTTTATTTCTGTTCTCATTATTATTTATCTCTATGAATATCTCATTACCATAACAAGAATAACAGTAAAGATATACTTTCATTTGTCGATTACTCCGTAATGATGAATAAATAATTTATCAAAAAAAAATATCATTTAATAAAAACAAAGGACATATTTGTTCTTCAATAAATGAATAACATATATTTCATTATAGTTTTACTTAATTGATAATGTTTAATATGTATATATAGAAAATTGTTTATATATATATATCTTATAAATACTTGGATTAATGAAGCTACTTATATAAAATAACAGCAAATTGGTTCGATAATAATACAAACCTTCAACAAAACTATGAATGCAGGAAACGGCAACTTCCCAACTAAGTAATATTAAAAATATTGTTCTCAATCTATGCTTTATGAAAAATCAATTATAAATAGTTTTTGACTAATATATCATCTCTCGTTATTTTATCCATTTAAAATCATATTACTACTAGTTCCTAAAAATTAACAGTGATAATAAAGAGGAAAATCATTAGAGTAATTGGTATATTCATTTTACTAAATTAAATATCAATAAGCGTCAGCTGCAATGATTGCGATTTAAATTATATGACACAACTAGATGTTCCAAACTCTAGTAATTAGTTTATATATGTATTTTAATGTCAGTTATTCTGTCAAGAAAAAATGAAGGTCGTCAATCTATTCTCCTAAAAAGAAAAACACAGTATAAGTTTTTTTTCATTTATTTTAATGAGTACGTTCAAAAAAAAGATTGAGCAGAAAAAAGGCATAGTAAAGTATTTTATTTTATGCAGGTAAACTAGTCTTTATTTGTGACTACTATCGTAGATATAAACTAAATAGTAGACGCGGATTTTTATATAAATAAAAGACAATTTTGGTTAGTTGTTATATGATATTAATAATCTACTATACAACTATTTATCATCATTAGTAATATTTCAAATGTACTTTTGCTTTAGTTATTTAAAATTAAGTTATCTAAGAATAGTAAAAGATACGGAATTTTCCTTGCTTTCTTTTAGCTGAATTAAAGTACCGTCATGAGACCAAGATTATACAACCTTGATCCGAATGATCGTAACTCATTAATTAAACGAAACTAGTCATATATTATTTTAGAACCATATTAGATCTTTTTCTTTCAATGGGGATTGACATGTATTCTAAGGTTATATTATTCTTCTTCTTCTAAATATATAACTTTGGATTAGCTGTATAGATATATATTATTTGATGTATGACGCCTTTCTTTTCTTTTCATTTCTAAATGATATATTACACATAGAGTACACTTGATTGTTTTTTTCTTACATTCCAGCATCATTTATATATGTAAGTATGATAGCAAGATTTGTGAGTCTTGACTGTATAAGTACATCCATCTCTTTCGACATCTATATAGCGATAAAAATACAATAGTTTTGTCCTTCCAACCCACATGCAAGAGCAAACGAACGACCAGAGAGGTAACACAGCCTATTATCTTTGCAGCACCATCGCCTTCAACACATCTGTTTCCATTCGCGCGCGCGCGCGCACTCTTGCGCATTCGGCTACAGCGGCGGCAAAAATTCTCTCGTTCCACACACACACACGCACACATACGTCTCTCTTTCTTCTTTCTTGTTGTGAAGATGAAACACATAGAAAAATAGGCTCGATGTTCCCCGGTTTTTTTTTCTTCTCTCCAGTAAGTAAATTCTCCTTAGCTGCCAACC